AAAAAAATATCATACTCGATATTTTATTGAGCCATTTGGAACACCAAACTTTTGTAAATTAAAAGTTAAAAGTATAAAAGTTTTATATCAATACTGTACTAAAATTTCGATACATCAATATGTTGTTTATCATAATAAAAGTTAATATACTAAAATTGAGATATTTCACAAAATTTTCATTATATGTAAAATATAAAAATATAAAAAAAAAAATTAAAGATAACAAAATTACTATAATTAAAAATAATATAAATATATTAATACATATTTTTATTTAATTATTTTATTTAAATGGTATTTCCGGTATATTCCGCAACAGTAACAATATATAATGTCATATTGATAATTCGAATTTGGGTGTGTATTACTCAAAATATAGTAAAAAAGATAACATTATTTTTGCGTTAAATTTAAATAGTATTTTATATTATACAAAATTTCAATATCCGAATCCAAGTTCGAATTAAGTACTAAGGATGTGTTTGTTTGGGGGTTTGGATTTTGAGTTGAAATTTGAATAGTAAAAATTTTGAATTTGAATAGTTGTATGATGCGATATAAATAGATGTTGATGCGATGTTTTGAATGTGGGACGGACAGAAACGACAACTTGGACATGGTATGTGGGACGGAGGGAGTAATAATAATAATAATAACAATAATAATAATAATATAATTAATTATCTAATTTTCTTATTCCAACCAATCAAACGATGACATGTGTACTTATATAAAAGAGAGAAAATATGTGTAATATTTAATTAGATTAAAGTACGTTTTATATTTCTTTAAAAATAAATAAAATATATTTAATTTAATTTAGATATTATATTTTTATTATACCGTGAAAGAAAAAAAATATAAGTAAGTTAATTATGATGTAGATATTCAATTTTTTATTATATTATTTTATTATATTTTCATAATATATCAAAACTAAAATAATACATCAAATATACCAAATGACCTCTTACAATAGGGAGTATATATTTAAATTTAATTTATTATTTTATATTTTAAAATTGTACAATATTTCAAGGGTTTTCTTTAAAATTAATTTATATTTACTTAGTCTTTTTTCAAAAAAAAAAAGTAATTAAATTCAATATTTTATAAAATAACAACATGCTTTTATTGAAATGATAAAATACTATGATAAATATATATCTACATATATATATAATATTTATAATCTTCAAAATTATTTATATTCAATCTCAATATTTATTCAAGTTTTTTTTAATACTACTTTAAAATTGCTATTTCTATAAAATCTTACATCCAAATACTATTTACACAAACATTAAAAAAAAATGTTAAAAAATAACTATTGCAAAAAAAATAAATTAATTAAACTATCTTATATTTTAAAGTTCATTTTGTATTTAATTTTTTATTAGTTATGAGTGTGATATTTCATAGAAAATTAATAATATAATTTTATAAAAATAATAATGTAGCCTAATAAATAAATACCTAAAAATTGATATTACAAAGTGCGTCGACATCAATAGTACGTGTAATTTACGTGGTCGATTCATATGCATTCATATGCTGTAACTTAAAACTATAAATCTGAGATTTGAATGATTCGAAAAGGTGCCTCCTTGTATATACAATAAATTTTGAAATTCTAGTACTACTTTATTCAGTCTCTAATTTTTAATTTTTAATTTTTATTTTATAATATTTAATATAAAAAATAATAAATAAATTTAAAAATTATAAAAAATTAATAGAATATTTATGTAAAAATTTAAATATTGAATAATAAAAAAAATTATATCATAATAATTTTTTGATAATATAAAAATAGGTATAAATAAAAAAGCAATAAATAATAATTAAAAAAATTTTTCAAAAATTTTTCAACTAAATACAGAGAAAATGATATTTTTAAGAGTTTTTTATTAATAAATGTTTTTATTATTTATTAATTTCATATAATACAAAATTCATCTTGTAATATACAGTTGTCAATATAGATTGATATTTTGCAAGATTTTCGAAATATGATAACTCCATTGATAAAAATATTGGATAACAAATAGATGATGATCGTTTCCAAATTTTAAAAATTAGCCCCCCCTTTCATCATGGTCTGGTTCCGCCTCTGTTCAGTCATACTCCCTCCGTACCAAAACTATAGTCCGTGTTATATTTGGTAGTTGATAAAAAGTACGAGTAAAAGATTTTTTTGCCCATGTGAGTGTATTAGTATAAAAAGTAATGACATTTGTGTAATAATAATGAAAAAGTAAAGGTAGTTTTATAATGATATGATTATTTATGGAAATGAGACTATTGTTTTGAAACGAACAAAAATAGTAAACAATACTATTGTATTAGAACGGAGGGAATACTTTTTTTAAATTCTAGTACTACTTTATTTAAAAAAGCATCGCATCGTACTTTTTCCGTTTCGGATGAATGTATCAATTTAAAGTTTTGTAGTAAATTAAAAGTGTATCCCTCTCAATTTAAAGTATTTTTTTTTTACAATTTTGTCTGTTTTACTTAAAAATATTTATTTTCTATTTTACTAAAAGTAAAACCATACACTAATACCTATAATATCATTAATTTTTACTTAGATTACAAACATAATATTACAAATACAGTTACTTTATATATAAAGTCAAATGACAAGAATGTTTAAACTTCTTGGACACTTCCACTGACTAATAAAATACTATTCCCTCCGTCCCAATACAATAGTCTTGTTTACTGTTTTTGTCCGTCTCAAAACAATAATCTTATTTTCATAAATAACCATATCACTATATAACTACCCTTACTCTTTCATTATTATTACACAATTGCAACTACATTTTACACTAATACACTCACAAGGGCAAAAATATCTTTTACCTATATTTTTTTACCCACTATCAATATAATATCAATATTATTTAAATATCGTGCCCAACACAACCAGACTATTGTTCCGGGACGGAGGGAGTATTATTTTTTAACATACTACAAAATCTTAAAGCGCTCATTTGATCTGAGACGAAAGGGAGTATTTTATTAGGTAGTAGAAATATGTTAGAGGTTTTAACAATTTTTCCCTTCGACTTTATATATAAAGTAATTGTATGTACAATGATATATTTATAGTTCAAGTAAAGTTAAATGTACTTTTTTTTATAATGTGAAAATTCGCAGACGCTACCCGAAAGTGCGCTCTGAGTAAATCTGCAGCCGAACCTAATAGCCTTCAGACTAGGCCCAACAAGACAAGTCACACTAGACGAATCATGTGTGGCAGACAAGATCCGGAGGCATTGGGGTTTGAAAGAGACAAACAAAAATGGTAAAAATGATACTTTCAACTATGATAGAATAATTATTAAGTACTAAATATTTTTTGAAAATATTTAATTAAAAATTATTTTTTTATTATTTTTAAAATTTCAAAATTTCAAAACTATCATTACATATATATATCATACATACACATAATACATTAATATATATACTTGTACCGAAACACACTCCATATATATATATAGAGGCAAAATTGCACATAATTCATCTGTTATTTCACAAAATTGCACCAAATTTTCGTCAGATTCCCTTATAATTTCATAAACTCTGAGTCCAACTCCTTAAGTGTCCTTATTTAACGGTATCTGATATCTATGTGCCCAAAATAAATGACTTTCAAAATCACTATTTTTAAACCTTTGAAATTGTAAATATACACATTCTTATTATATTTAATCTTAAGGAACAATAGATATATTCAGAAATAATTATTTTTCTATTATTTTAATATTTTTTTTATTTTCTATTGTTCTTTTGAGAATAAATATATTTATAATTATACAAATTTAAAAATAAATATTCCGAAACCCATTATACACAACCTCATAATCATAAATTCACCGTACATTACTGAGGTCATTCATTACAAAACTACAATATTAATATACTCCTATATGTTTATAAATGTATGTTGTGGGCATATATTAATATCTAGATCAATATATATATATATATATAATATTCTAATTATTTTCAACTAAAAATATGTTTTTTTATTTTTGTTTATCTTATTATAAAATAAATTTTATTTTAGTAAAAATAATTGTATAATAACACTAAAATACTAATATTATTTTTTTATTTAAATTACAAATATATCATAACATGTATAATTATCTATATATCAAGTTAAATGATAAAATATGTTACATACTTTTACTAATTAATACTTCCTCCATATTGTGTCAAGTGTGTATTAGTAAAATTAATTATAATATATACAAATAATTATATATTAAAATTAATATAACTAATTAGTCTATTAAAAATTTTAAAAATTATAAATTATAAAATTTAAAATATAATTAAAATATATAATAATTTGTTTAAAAAAAGAAACATGTCGGACAGTATGAACAATATATTAATATTATTTTTACAAAATTCCAAAATGATACTTTACACGGGAGTGGAATATATTTATATATATATGTGATTTATTATGTGTATACAATATGTATGTATGTAAGATGTGTGCAATGCTTTATATATATATATAATATAGAATACATGGGATAGATATATGTGTGTATATATATATATATCTAGAGAGAGAGAGAGGGAGAGAGAGATTTTTATCATTTAACTCATTAGGGTTGTGTTTGTTCGGATTGGATTTTGAGTTGGAATTTGAATAGTAAAAATTTTGAATTTGAATAGTTGTATGATGTAATATAAATATGTATTGATGCGATGTTTTTAATGTGAAACAAATTTACAGTATAATATAAAAAATAAAAAATAAGTGTTTGATTTGATATTTTTTTGAAAAAAAAATAGAATGAACAGTGTATTTAAAATCCAAACCCAAAATAAGCACACCTGTACATGTATTTTTATACGTGTATGGTTATAAATACTTCCACAATTTACACTCGTTGTACATACGTCTACCATACGTGTAATCTTTATAACATATATATATATATATTTATATACATACATTTCTTTCGTTCAATACTATAAATACACATGCTGGAAATGGATTATACAAAAATATCCTATTTTCAGACAATCAGCAGCGCCGTCTGATAATGGCTTCCGGCGGCGCCGTCGTGCCGCAATCCTCCTCCGATGCGGCGGTCCTAATGGTGCCCTTCCCCATGCAGGGCCATCTCAACCAGCTCCTCCACCTCTCCCGCCTCCTCGCCGCCGCCCACCTCCCCGTCCACTTCGCCGCCACCGCCGCCCACTGCCGCCAGGCCCGGCGGCGCTTCCACGGCGGCGCAACACTCTCCGCCGCCGATAATATCTTCTTCCACCACCTCCCACCCCTCCACACCACCCAAATATCCACCCGACCCGACCCGAATTCCACCACCCATTTCCCCTCCCACCTCCAGCCTTTATTCGACGCCGCTGCCGCCGCCCTCCGCCGCCCCGTCGCCGACCTCACCCGGCGGCTCTGCGCCGCCCACCGCCGCGTCGCCATAATATGCGACTCCTTGATGGGATCTGTGGTCCAGGACTTCCTCAACTTCCCGAACGCCGAAGCGTACGCCTTCCACAGCGTTTCGGCTTACGCCGTTTTCTTCTTTTTGTGGGAGAGTCTTGGCAGGCCGTTCCGTCTGGACCCCGAGGTCCTGGAGAATCTCCCCTCTTTAGACGGGTGCTTTACTCCCGAATTCTTGCAGTTCGTCGCCTCCCAGCACAGATTCCTCGGAATATTCTCCGGCAGGATTTACAACACGTGCAGAATCTTGGAAAACAAATTTCTCGACCTTTTATCCGAAATCGACTGTAATAAGAAACAATGGCCGTTGGGGCCATTCAATCCTGTGGATAATTTTCAAGAATCTCCGGCGGCCGGCGGCGACCGCAGCCGCCATGAATGTCTGAAATGGCTCGACGGACATGGCCGGAATTCTGTCATTCTCGTATGCTTCGGGACGTCGACGACGTTGCCAGAGAGGCAAATTTGGGAATTGGCGGCGGGATTGGAGAACAGCCGGCAGAAATTTGTTTGGGTCGTCAGAGGCGTCGACGGTGACGGCGCCGGAGATGACGTGGATAACGGCATGATGACGGAGATTGAATTGCCGTTAGGGTTTGAGGAGAGGGTGAAGGATAGGGCGGTGGTGGTCAGAGATTGGGCCCCACAGCTGGCGGTTTTGGGACATCCGGCGATCGGCGGTTTTATGAGCCACTGCGGGTAGTGTGACATTTTTATTATTATTATTTTTTTTCACAATTGCATATTACTCGCCAATTAAAATTAATCACTTAAATCGTTATAAGAATTTTAAAAAATGAATATGTTATTGAAATGTGATAAATATAAAAAGATAATTTAGAATATTTTTGAAAATTTATTAAAATTAAAATAAATGAAAAAATATATAATAAAATTAGAGGTATTTTTTGTTAAATAAATTAATAATAGACTAAATTTAACGAGTATTAAAAAAAATAATAATAATAAATTAGCTATTACCAAAAGTTTTTAAATAAAGAAAATATAGTTTGAATACAATTAAATAATAGTAACAATTTAATCTATTACATGTAATTACTGTATTATCAAGTAAAATATTCCGTTTTTGTTTATATATGAAAATTTAAAAATAATTTTCTTTTAATATAAAAATTGAATAGTTAAAAAGTAAAATGAGAACATAATAAGAAATTTGTTAATAAATCAATAAAAATTAAAAAAGTAAGTAACGAATTAATTATTACTTCTTCCGTTTTCCATATTTTTTTCCATATTATGTCTTGGTTAAGATAAATATGAGAATTTAAAAGGAGTATATAAGTAAACAATTGAAAATATACTCAGTTTAATTAAAAATTTAAAAAAATTATAACTTATAAAATTTAAAATGTAATTAAAATATATTTTTATAATCTTTTCAAAAAAGTAACATAAAATATAAGACGAACAAAATAAAAAAAAATGACATTATATATGAAATAAAGACAGTATTTATTAAAATATGAATAATAAGATTGCGATTGGATAAAATGTTTTATTACAAATAAACTATGATTTGATTTTTTTTTATTACGTGAGTTATAATGAATCATGTTAATACTATAAAAATTAATATTATATGTTGAATAATTTGTATAAAAGATAAAATATATATATTAAAAATCGAGTTGAAAAAAATAAATTGAACAAACAAGTTTTTAGCTTACAAGAGAAGTATAATCCAACAATACCTAAAATATAAATATATGTAACTAATTATGAATTAATATAATACAAATACAGATAAAATATATAACAATAATTCATACAATACATAATCAATATAATATAATTGCTCCAATTAACACAATATGCATTGTTTTAACTCGAAGTCATATACTATCTAATTCTACCTCTGTCCGATTCTAAGAGTACAAATTATTATATCAAAATATAGTACAAATTAAAAAAAAAATTGCAAAAATACTTCCACTAGTGTCTTATAATACTAATAAAATGACATTTATATAAAAAATTATACAAATATAAAGATATTTTTAATGTCAAATACAATGACGTAAAACGTAAATGTGACCCTTGAAGGCGGACGAAAGTAGTATAAAAATTTTTAGACTTGATCAGCATCCTAACTAATTTATAAAAATTTAATATAAAATACTTCATATGTCTGTCAAATTTATTCCTATTTTTCTTTTTAGTCCGTCCACTGAATTTATGTTATTACTAATTTTGGCAAAGTCAACAAATCAACATTTAATTATTACCCTCCATTCAACACTTATTTACAACAAATACCACTAATTTTATTATATTTTCTTTCATTTACAAAAAAAAATACCCCTACCTGCATATCACTTTTTCAATAAAATATTCATTATTCCCGTGTCTGGCCCAAAATGAAATAATTTTAATGGACGGAGAGAATATAATTAAATATTTTAAATATCTCGATAGATGGAATTCGAGCATGGAGAGCATTTCGATGGGAGTTCCGATCGCCGCCTGGCCGATGCACTCCGATCAGCCGCGGAATGCCGCTCTGATCGGAAAATTGGGGGTCGGCGTGGCGGTGAGGGATTGGAACCGCCGCGAAGAGATTGTGGAGGCTGCGGCGGTGTCGAGCGCCGTGCGGCGGCTGATGGCGTCGGAGGAGGGAGACACGATGAGGATTGCCGCCGGAGAGTTGGGCGCCGCCGTGAGAGAGGCGGCGGCCGCAGAAATGAAGGTGGAGCTGCAGTCCCTTGTTTCGTATCTCACCAGATAAGATAATAGGAATACTATTTGACTATTTGGAACATTATTTTGAATATTATTTTATTAATTTTAAGTTCGAATATTTTTTAGTATTTACATTTGTAGATATAATTATTAAAAAGAAACTAAAATATATTATACAACTTCATAGTTAATATACAAAAATATAATTTTTTTATAGAAACATTTAAAATTTATTGTATTGAAAGATTAAACTATAAAAAAAAAAAATACTGCCTTGAAGTGTTAATTTAAGAGATTTTTCAGAATTTTTATTATTCATTAATTTTTTTATAAAAATATTAAATTAAATATTTATTTTTTATTTTTTATATTTTTTTTCATTGTTACCATGTCTCTTTACTGTATATATAAAAATTTAAAAAATATATAATTAGTAAATAATTACAAATATATTAATAAAAATAATTATTACGTAATAGAAATAAATTTAAAATAATTTTTACTATGCAATAATTTTAAAAATTCAACTATTATATTTTTTTTTTGATTTTTTAATAAAAATATTAAATTTAAATTACTATTCAAATAAAATTTTTGGATCCTATTAACTCCGGCTGAAAATTCAGCCATGCGTAACCCGACATGATTTAGAGATTAAAAAAATAAAAATATACACATATTAATATATTATTAATTTGAATTAATGTGATTTATTTAATGCAAAATTATTCAAAATAAATTTAAAAATAGAAAAATTGAATTGACCTAGCCCGACAAGATTTGAACAAACCGAGCCGAAACTTCCAAATCTAATTTAAAATCAGATTGGGTCTATCCCAACACGGAATAAAAAGTCCGAAAAAATTGGGTAGCTCTATTTTTTAAGTTGAATTTTTGTGTAATTTTGTTATTTTTATAATGGATTGTGTAATTTTATTTTTAAAAACTAATGTATAATTTTATATTTTGAAACCTGATATGTAATTTTTTATTTTTAAAAAATAATATATAATTTTATTTTTTGAAAAGTAATGTGTAAGTTTATTTTTTTTTAAAAAAAAATATGATGTAACTTTTTTTTATTTTGAAAATAATTATTTTATATATTTTTATAAAAGTTGGTGATAATGTAAAAATAAATTAAAATTGAATGTAATTTATAAATATAAAAAATTATATAAAATATAAAAAATAAATATATAGAGAATATAATTTTTAGAATAAAAATTAAAGTTTATAGTTGAAGTAAAATTCTCGTAAATTTACTAATTTTTACTATTAAAAAATAAAATAATAAATTTGAGATGATCTAATAACTGCAATATTATTTTTTATATTTTAGGCACATTATAGATGATTTTGTCTTGTATAGATTTAGGAAATTATAACAAAATCCTTTGGAGATTTGCATTTTTTTTTTGCATAGTAATTTGAGTGTTATGTTTTATAAAAAAATATAGATATATATTAATATGCTTCCAAATTTTGGAAAAAAATTTTAATACTTCCTCCATTCCGAATATTTTGTTCGCATTACTGTAGTCACTAGAATTTATGAGGGGTATAATTAGTAAATAACTAAAAGTGTGTTAGTGAAAATAATTATCGCATAATAAAAAAAATTATAGATTAAGATTTAAGCTAATTGATTAGTATAATTAAAGTTAAAAAAATTATGAATTAAATTTTTAAAATAAGATTAAAGTGTATAGTTATTTTCAAAAAAGAAAAATAACAAAATAAGTGAAACAGACAAAATAGAAAGATGAACGTGAGAAGTGGGATTTTCATCTTAAAATATTAGATTAAATATTTTATTTAATTACTTTTATATATATATATATTATTTGTGTATATATATTTAATGGCTTTTATTTTATTTCTCTTTCAATAGTTAGGACCGGTCTGTGTTATAAAAAGCATATTATTGTTTATGAAATAAAAAGACAAATTAATTTAAAGAAGTGAAAAGAAATAAAAATATAATAGTTAAGAATAAGACATTGCCACGTCGATTTCGAAAGCGGAAAGCTTTGAGGAATGACGAGGGCATTTTGTTCTTTTTGTACTTTTTTTTGTGCATATTTTTTTCAAAAAAGTTAATACATTATATATATTTATTATTTTTATATTTTTTACACAATTTTATATATCTTACATCAAAATATTTATTTTTCAATAGTCTCATAGAACAAAAACACCCATCGCTTAAAATTAATTTGAAAAAAATTATTATTTTAATTTTTTATTTAGAATTATTTAAATATAATATTTTATAAATATATATATATATTTACTGAAAATCATTCGGATTAAATAATACTCCCTTCGTCTCACATAATTTGTCCATATTTTTTATTTTCGTCCGTCCCACATAACTTGTTCTTTCTATTTTTGAAAAATATAATTATGCACTTTAATCGCATTTTAAATTTTAAATTTTATAATTTTTTAAATTTTAATTAAAATATTTACTTATTTTAATCTTAATCTATAATTATTTTTACTAAATAATAATTATTTTTACTAATACACTTCTTAATTATTTCAAAATTATACTTTACATAAATTCTCGTGTCTACAGTAATACACTCATGTTACACGGGACAGAGGAAGTATAAAATTTTTAAATCATAAACAAACAAAACCCAAGTAATCAATTCAAATAAAATAGAATGCATGTCGCCGTTCAATTCCACATATCGTGTTTATATTGACATTTATATTTGTCTTACGTCTCATGGCATTAGCCTCTTATGAAAAAAAATACACACTTTAATTTTATTTTAAATTTTATAATTTATAATTTTTTAAAAATTTTAATTAGATTAATCTTAATCTAATTATAAAAATATACACTTTAATCTCATTTTAAAATTTCTAATTTATAATTTTTTAAAATTTTTAATTAGATTAATCTTAATCTAATTATAAAATATACACTTTAATCTCATTTTAAAATTTCTAATTTATAATTTTTTTAAATTTTAATTAGATTAATCTTAATCTAATTATAAAATAATTTTTTTACTAATATATTTTTTAATTATTTAATAATTATACTTCTTTTAAATTCTTATATTTACGGTACGATAGTAGGGACGGAGGAATTAATAATAATAAAACTTTGGATGATAATGATTTGTCATTAAAATATTATATATTCTCTCCCATTCATGTAGATATGTGTCGGTATTGAGGTTAAAAAATAATATTACTAATATTTTTTATTTTTTTATGTTATATTAAAAAATAATTTTGTATTTAAAACATCACATCAATATTTATTTATATCACACGATACAATTACTTTAATTTAAAATTTATATTATTTAAATTTCAATCCAAAATTCAAACTTCCAAACTAACAGCACACTTTAGTATTTTGAGTAGATAATTTTTTTACTATTATAGAAATATAAATTTAGCGGATAAAAATTATACTTACATAAATTTGATAGATGAAAAAAATGCTACTCATTCAATTTCATATATCATGTCATAATTTTCATTTATTTTCTTCACACATCTTATGTTATCTACTTTATAAAAGTATTTTATATTTTAAATTTGATAATTTATAATTTTTTAATTTTTATTAGATCATTTAGATATTTTAATTTTAATTTATAATTATTTATAAATTATTATAATTAATTTTACTAATAAATTCTTAAATATTTGATAATCATATCATTCGTAAATTTTCGTATCTATATTAATAATATAAAAATAGAGAAAGTAATATAACACATATGTATATAGAATACTTAAGATATTAAAATATTTTTTAATATAAAAATTTAAAAGTTAAAGATAAACATTATTATATTTAACTAATAATAACAATTACAAAATTTCGAATCACCACGATATTGTCGATACACCACAATTACAAAAATATTTTACAGATCGTATAAAAAATAATTTCAAATAAATATTAAAATACTAATTAATTTAATTAAAATTTAAAAATTATAAATTTAAAAATTTAAAATAAAATTAAAGTATATAATTTTTAAATTTCTTTTATAAAAAATAATACAATAAGTGGAACAACATATTGAAAAGATAAACATGATAAATAAGACAAAAGGAACAATCACTTATTATTTTTATATTATCTAAGCATCTAAGCAATTCTTTATAATTTCAAATATGGTAACCTGCCGTACATTGTTCACCTAGTATGAATTTTTCGTCGGACTTGATTTGCAGGGTATTAATTTCGGCCGGAGTTTACCCAATATTTGTTTTCGGATAGCAGTTACGAATTCTCGTATCATTAAAAAAAAAAAAAAAAAAAAAAAAAAAGTACACCCACATATATACATATGAATAGGTCCAACTCACCCCAGGACAAATGATAAGGATCAGCCTTATCATGCCAAGAAACTTACAAACAAGTTAAATAAAAAAAAAAAATTTGTAGGAAAGAACAATGACACAAATCAAATCAATCACTAAAATACATATGGCTACTTGATGTGATGATTACATAGAAATGTTTTTGTTTTAAAACAATTATAAAATAATAAAATCATTAATTGTACTTCCTCCGTTTTATAATAAAATATTTATTTTTTTTATTTTAGTATGTTTTCATAACAATGTATTCATTTTATTTTTTTTGTAACAGTACTATCTATCTAACGTTACAAATACTCTTACAATTTACAATATATTACACAAATATCATTACTTTTATATCACACATACCAATAAGATTATTTTAATCATTTTTACTTTATTCTTACTTACATTCCAATATAATACTAATATTTCTAAAATTACGTGCAAAAAGTAAATGAATATTTAATTATGGGACAGAGAGAGTATATCTTTGAAAAAAAATACTTTTTCCATCTCATATCTATTTATCTATTTATTTTTTACACGAAATTAAATAAAATAGAAATAAGTAAAATAATCTTATTAATGTTGTATGATATATAAAAATAATGACTGTAATATATTGTATCTGTAATGTTAAGTAGATAGTACAATTACTAAAAAAAAATAAAATGAATACTTTGTTATAAAACAGATTAAAATGGATAAATAGATAGCTTGTTAAGAGACGGATAAAGTATAAATATTTATATAGTTTTTAAAAAATTAATATTGATAAATAGTGTTCAAAATATTCAAAAATATCTAACATAACTTTTAAGATAAATGATTTCTTTGTAAACTAACACTTTGTTCGCCCAAATAATTTTTGTATTGCGATTTCATAAAAATAATAATAAATAATACAAAATATTTTTACAAAAATTAAAAAGTAAAAAAATAAATAAAATAAATCAAATACTTATTAAGAAAAGTCAAAAATCATATTTTCAATTTGAAATACCCATTTCGTCCAAATAAAAAATATATATTTATTTTTGGCGTGGAGTTTAAAAAATAATAATATTTTAATTATAGTAAGCAGGTATAAATAGTGTAATAACATTTTTATCCTTATTGTTTTTTGTATAAAAATAATAATATAATATAAAATAAGAATATTAGTAAAAAAAAAAAAAAAATGAGATATGTAATGAAATTATTACTTTGTATTTGAACGTTTCAAAATAAAAATATGTATACTTTCTAGCTGCTGGACATAATGAGGAATATATTTTATATTTTCGGCATAATTTTTCGTACAACACACCAAAAATCAATTTACTCAATTATTCGACAAATTTAAGGAACCATCCATCACCCATATTAAAGTCCCCAACCTTCTTACACAATTGCTACCGAATCCAAAACCATGGCAGAAACCGTCGTAATATTCCTCCCTCTCCCCTGCCAAAGCCACTTAAACCAGCTCCTCCGCCTCGCCGCCGCCGTCGCCGCCCGCGGCCTCCCCGTCCACTATCTCGGCACCGCCACCCACAACCGCCAGGCCCGCCACCGCTACCCCAATCAAATCCCGCCGTCCATCCAATTCCACGATCTCCCCTCTCCTCCAATCCCCGCCGTCGATCCCGACCCGTACGCCGCCGACAAAACCCCCCTCCACCTCTCCGCCGCCGCCGCCGCCTACATGAGCCTACAACAACCCCTCGCCGCCTTCGTCACCGCCGTGCTTTCCTCCACGCCGCGGCGGCGCGCCGTCGTTATCTACGACCGGATGCTGGCGGAGACAGCCCGGCCGGCGGTTCTGGTCTCCGGCGCCGACGGCTACGCCTTCAACTGCCTGTCGGCGTTCAATCTTTTCCACATACTTTGGGAGGTCGCTGGAAAGCCTTTCCAGGTCCCCGGAGCGGCGCTCCCGGACCTCCCGCCGATGGAGGTCCTGATTCCCGGCGCGGCGGCGCTGGGTTTCATGGCTTCTAGAAGCATCCAGGAAAGGGCAGGAGATATTCACAACACTATAAGATTGATCGACGCCGATTATATTGATCTTTTTTCGCGGGAAGAAATTAGCGGGAAGGATAAGGAGCAGTGGGCGCTGTGGCCAATCGTGACCGTCCGTGATGGATCTCATCCGGCGGTTGGTAATCATTGCCTGGAATGGCTTGACCGGCAGCCGCCGCGATCGGTGATGTTGATATATATAGTATTTGATTTTATTAATATTGTTTAATTACATTATCATCATTGTTCGAATAAAAAATAGACATATTTTGGTATTAAAAATCTATGAATAATGCACACTTTTCTATTTGATAAATATTTAAATAATTCATAATTTAAGATAAAATAAATATTTCATTTTTTGGGGATAATTATGCTCTTTTATTTGTTATAAAAATTAATAAATAATACTTCTTTATGGTAAAATTATACTATTTCCGATCTTATTTATTTTTTGTGTATTAATATTTAAATATTAATTATTAAATAAAAATATAGTATAAATTAAAAGAAAATAATAAAAATATTTATATTAGTGTTTTATAATATTATTATAATAATATGTGTGCTAAAAATTATATAAATATAAAAATATTTTTAATATTAAGTACAATGACTCAAATGAGACTCTTAGAACCTGACGAACGGAAATATAAATTTAACTGGACATAAAGATTAAAAAATAATTACATTTTAATATTAAAATTGAGTAAATAAAAATAAAAATAAAAATGTTACCAAAAAAAAATTATAAAAAGCAAACAAATTAAAAATATGTTTTTTATTATGATTGAAAAAAAAATAAAAAATCATAGATATTAACAATGGATGAAGTATTTTAGGGTGTCTTTGTTTGAAGGTTAAAAAGTAGTATTTTAGGGTGTGTTTGTTTGAAAGTTTAGATTTTAAGTTGAAATTTGAATAATAAAAATTTTAAGTTTGAACAGTGGTACGATGTTATATTTTAATTGTAAAATTAATTTTTAATATAATATAAAAAAATATAAAATAATTTTTTAATTTGATGTTTTGAGGAAAAAAAAATTGATTACTAATAGATTTCTGCGAAAATCCCATAATCCGTCTTTATAACATATAAATTCTTTTAAATTTAACAGGTGATTTACGTTTCGTTCGGGACGACAGTTTCACTGACTGAGGAGGAGGCGGGGGAGATCGCGGCGGGGCTCGAATTAAGCGGCCGGAGGTTTTTGTGGGTATTAAGGGACGCCGACGGATCGGACATCTTTTCGGGCGGGAGGCGTAGAATCGGGCTGCCGGAAGGTTTCGAAGAACGGGTTTCCGGCAGGGGACTGGTGGTGCGGGAATGGGCGGCGCAGGTGGAGATATTAGGGCACGGCGCGACGGCGGGGTTCGTGACGCACTGCGGGTGGAATTCATGTCTGGAGAGCCTGGCGGCGGGAGTGGCGGTGGTGGCGTGGCCGATGCACTCCGATCAGCCGCTAAATGCGATGTTTCTGACGGAGGTTTTAAAAATGGGGATTCCGGTGAAGGATTTGGAGAAGAGGGAGGAGCCGGTGACGGCGGAGATGGTGGGAAGGGCGGTGGAGCGGCTGATGGGGTCGCCGGAGGGGGACGCGATCCGGCGGCGGGCGGCGGAGGTGGGCGGCGCTGTTAGGAAGGCGGCGGAGGAAGGCGGGGAAGTTTGGTTGGAGATGGAAAGGTTTATTCGTCATATAAGAAGATAAAGTGGAATTTGAAAAAGTTAAATTTATAATAAAATGCTTATTTATTATTATTATTATTATTTATTTATTTATTTATATCAGTTAACAATAAATATATTTTGCTATTTACAACGTCCTTTACAAATGGATCGACTTTTGAGTTGAAATTTTTAAAATATGAATGAAACTATTCAATTTTAATTTGACATATTTATCACTGTGTCAAGTTTGCAATTATTGTATACATAATTTGGTCAAATTCACAAAGGATTTCAACCCAAAAATAAGATGCTTATGAAATAAAGTGTTTTTAAATTAAATTTATTATTTTATTTTTAATAATAATAATAATAATAATAAATACAATACTATAATATATTATAAAAATAATTAATCTATATATATTATATTTTTAAAAAATTAAAAAAATATAATTATATTATTATTTTTAATTTATATATCACAAATTAAAATTTAAGATTATAATTGAGATACCAAATTTAAATAGAAGTATATAATTTTTTTAATTATGCTAAAATTATTAAATATAAATTTTAAAATTTTAAAATAAATTGAAAAATATAAATAATTTAATACTCTATTATATTTTAATTTTATTTTTAATATATATTTTCTTTAAATTAAAATTTAAAAATATAAATAATTAAATTTTATAAATATATTTTCTATACTTTTATTTAAAATATTTAAATATAATTTTAAAATTTTGAAAATATATATAGTATATAATTTTTATAGAAAATATAATTATATTAACATTATATCTTTTTAAATAATTTTAACCGTTTAAAAACACTTACAACTCTATTTACATTCAAACATATTTTTTTTTTATGAAAAATCTGTTTTTATAATAATTCATCCAAATACAAAATCAATGTGATTCTACTTTTGACATGCTTCTGTTTTTGGTTTCTACTTATTTTTTAAGTCAATTCAAACAGGCCGTTAGTCAACTATAATAAATTTTTAGTTTTTTTACTTTTATCTATATTATATCTCAATATAATATTAATATTTCTAAAACTTCGTGAAAGATACAAACAGATAGATAGATATGAGACGAATGTTGTATGTTGTATCATAAACATGTTATGATAGTATATTACCTATGTCCGTCTTTAAGGATTATATTTATATTTTGCGTCATTGTAGTTAACATTAAAAATATTCTTATATTCGTATTTTTTTTGTACAAATATTGTCATATTAGTATTATAGTACACTAATAGAAATATTTTTGTCATTTTTCTTTAATTTGTACTATATTGTGATATAATAATTAATATTCAAATATCAATATATAAAAGTAAATGTGGCCTTAAAGTTGAACGGAGAGAGTATAATACTCCCTTCGTCCCGTTGGAAGGGTGGTGTTTGTTTTTTGCACGTAGATTTTTGAATATTAGTATTATATTGGATTGTAGTAAAAAAGACAAAAATACCTCTATTAGTATGGTGTAATATAAAAGTAATGGCATTTGTGTAATATATTGTAAGTTGAAAGGGTATTTATTATGTTAAATAGGTAGTACAATTACTAAATTAGGAAATGATTACCATGATTTGAGACAGACGAAAGTAAAAAATGATAACTTTCCAATGAGACGGAGGGAGTATATATTGTGATATGTTGACCATATCAAATCACCGAATCTACAACCATCATATTATAGTTATGTCGATACATATCATATATTAATACAACGCAATATATGATATATATGTGACATCCTAAGTTGTTTCAAGAATAATTATATTACATTCTCTGTCTCATTTAATTTGTTTATTTTAGCCGAGACACGAAGTTTTAGGTATTATATAATTAGTAGGTAATTAAAAAATATATTAGTAAAATTAATTATGATATAATAAAAATAATTATAACTTATAAAATATAAAATTGCTTAAAACGTAAAAATGTGAAACAAAAAATGAATAATTTAGGGAAGACGAAGACAGAATATATATCATTATTAACGTAGGGAATATTGGGCCGAATTAATACACGTATTTTAATGTTATATAAAAATATATACATATATATCAACGAAGCATATAAATTTTGAATTCATAAATTTTATTCACATATTTTATCAATAAAAATTAAAAACAAACATATCCTTTCTCTGTATAAAGAGTGTAAGAAACTTCACGTGTTTTCTGTCGAATTAAAATCCTCTCAGAGCTTTACACAAACCCTCCAATGGCGAACTCCGGCGACCACCAATCAACCGCCGCCGCCTCCGCCGCCGGAGACGGCATCGCCGTCATAATCGTCCCATTTCCGGCGCAGGGCCACCTCAACCAAATGCTCCAGCTCGCCTGCCTCATCGCCTCCTACGGCGGCGCCACCGTCCACTACGCCGCCGCCGCCGTCCACAACCGCCAGGCCCGCCTCCGCATCAACGCCCTCAGCCCCGCCGCCGTCGCCGCCGTCAAATTCCACGACCTCCCAACCCCGCCGTTCCCGTCGCCGCCGCCGAACCCGGCGGCGCCGTCCAAATTCCCCTGCCAGCTCCAGCCGGCGTGGGACGCCAGCCTCAGCCTCCGCCGCCCGATGGCGGAGTTCATCCGCGCCACCGCCGCCGTCCACCGCCGCGCCGTCGTCATCCACGACTCCCTCATCGCCGTCCTCGTCCAGGACGCCGTCGCCATCCCCAACGCAGAGACCTACGCCTTCAACTGCCTCTCCGCCTTCTGCCAGGCCAAAATGAACTTCGAACTCGCCGGAAAACCGTTCCCCCGCCGCGGCCTGAAAGAACTTCCGGCGGTGACGGACTGCATCTCCGGCGACCTGGCGGCGTTCATCGGCCTCCAGGAGGAGGCCCTCCGCCGTAGATCTGGAGATATTTACAATACCTCCAGATTGATCGAACCTTTTTACATGGATCTCCTCGACCGCGACGCCGAGGAGGAGGAACAGAGCCACCACCGCCGCCGCCGGAAAAATTGGGCCATCGGACCTATCATCCCCGCCGACCTCCACACGGCGGCGCAAAATTTTTCCGGCCGACGACATGATTGCTTGTCTTGGCTCGACAAACAGGTGCGTCCATTTTTAGTCTCCGTTACATTTTCTCAATTTTTTTTTTAATTTTTAAAAAAATATGGAAATTATATATTGCTTTTTGAATTTTCTCAAACAGATGAAAATATATATTTGAATTTTTGCAGAATAAAAAATAATACTAGCTCCTTCCCACATTGGGTGTCCTAGTCACCGTACATAAATAATTAGTAGATAATTAAGAATATATTAGTGAAAATAATTAATTTATAATATAAATCATTATAAATTAATATTAAAATAACTAATCAGTTTCATTAAAATTTTAAAAAATAATTAGAAAATTTAAAATAAAATTAAGATTGGTAATCATTTTTTTTAAAAAAAAAATGAAACGTAAGACAAACGAATAGAAACGGCAACATAAACATAATAAATGAGACGAAATGAGTAATATTTTATTAATTAATAAAATGTGTAAAATTATTTTAATCATTATATATATAAATATAATGTTATATTTATAATTTAAATAAATATTTTAATATTAATATACAGTTATTTTTATTTAAATAAGTATTTTGAATAAGACAAGCAAAATTATGAAATAGACTGACGGCTACCATTGAATTTAAAATTCAACAGCGTGCTAAATAGTATATTGTGTGTTATTTGTTGGTACACAATATTATTATACAATGTGTGCTATTTGTATATATTATATGTACTGATTTAAAAAAAAAAAAAAAGTCTAAAATCAGCAATGTAACAATTTTTATGAAATAAATTACTACTCCCTGCGTCTCATATAAAACACCTCTTTTTTTTCATTTCGGTTTCTTTACATAATTTGTCTTTTTTTGAAAATATAACTATATATTTTAATCATATTTAAAATTTTATAATTTTAATTTTTAAATTTAAATTTAAATTTATTTTTACTAATAATTTTAAAATTACTTACTAATTATATTTTATCTATTTTTTTTATCTACACTTGATAGGGACAATTTGCCCTTGACAAAGGAATATAATTTTTAAAAAATCTAAAAAAATTTGATTCGGACTTGTGACTGTGAAGTTACGGGTTCAAACCTCCGACGCTTCAGGTCACCTGCCATACATGGTTCGTCTAATGTGACTTTTTTGTCGAGCCTGATTTGCAAAGTATTAGGTTCGGTCGGCGTTTACCCAATGCGCACTTTCGGGTAGCGGCTGCGAGTTCCAAATATAAAAAAAAAAAAAAAAAAAAAAAAAATCTAAAAATTTATATTTGATAGTGTTTTTAAAAAAATATATATATAAATATAAAAATATGGTAAAAGAGTAAAAGACCAGACAACCTTAATAGTAAATGATTTGAACAACCGCAGGAGCCGAAGTCAGTTATCTACGTCACATTCGGGACGACGACGTCATTATCCGACGAGGAAATCTCCGAATTGGCGGCGGGATTAGAAAGAAGCGGCCACAAGTTCATTTGGGTGCTGCGCGACGCCGACAAGGCCAACATCTTCGACGGCGCCGATGTCCGGCGAACCCTTCTGCCGGCGGGCTACGAGGAGCGCCTTTCCGGGAGAGCCATCGTGGTCCGGGACTGGGCTCCTCAGCCGGAGATCCTGGCCCACAGGTCCACCGGCGGCTTCATGACCCACTGCGGCTGGAACTCGTGCCTCGAGAGCCTCACGCGCGGCGTGCCCATGGCGGCGTGGCCGATGCACTCCGACCAGCCGGCTAACGCGCTGATGGTCACGGAGGTCCTGGGAGCCGGGGTCCTGGTCCGGGAGTACACGGCGGAGCCGGCGGTGGTGAGGGCGCCGACGGTGGAGGCGGCGGTGAGAAGGCTGATGGAGTCGGAGGAAGGAAGGGCGGCCAGGAAACGGGCGGAGGAATGGGCGGAGAAGCTGCGGCGGGCGACGGAGGACGGCGGCGCTTCTCGCCGGGAATTGGAGGCGTTTTTGGCGCACATTTACCGCCCCGGCGAGGCGGATCCCGGCGCCGCCGCCGCCGGAGCTCCCGGACCGGCCTTGTTTGACGTTTCTGCTAATGGTGGGGTGTAATTTGTGAGGTTTTGAAAATTTAATTAGTGTTTGGTTATTTGGTAATAATTATTAATTAGTGATTTAAGTTTTTTTTAATTGCCATTTGTTGTAATAATAAATTGATATGTGTTGGACATCATAGGTTTGTTTTAGGATTTGAATGTTTTATTTATTTACTTAAAAAAATTAGGGTTTGGTTATTTGGTAATAATTATTGGCTTTGTTCACCCAAGCCAATTTTTGAACTGTGATTTCATAAGAAATACTTTGTCATGCAAATATGTGTTTATTTATTCGGGTACGAATTTTAAATAAAATGAGTAATAATTATCATTTTTTTATAGTAAAAAAATACAAAAATATTCTTGCTCTTTAAGTAAAAAGGAAATAAAAATATTTTTTTATGGCAATTTAAAAATGAAAGTAAACATAAATTTGAATGATGGATAAAATAATAAAAAATATAAAATAAAGTAAAAAACTTAAGGGTGTGTTTGTTTGGGGGATTTTCTCCAAACTTTACTACTCATTCCATTTTTTTCCCCAAAAACATCAAATAAAATACCTATTTTTTATTTTTTATATCATAGTAAAAATCAATTTTACATTCAAAACATCACATCAACATATATTTATATCATATCATACAACTATTTATATTCAAATTTTTTATTTAAATCTCAATTCAACTTAAAATAATGCTCCGTATTATATTTTATCTTATTAACACAATTGTTAATACCTCACATAAAAAATAATCTATTCAAAAATATTGGATGAAGAGAGTCATTAATTACTTATTTGAGTTTCTTATTGGGTATTTGTTGTAATAATAAATTATTGTATATTATAATAATTAATAATCAAATATCAACATGTTAAAAATAAATAAGAGATGTAGTATTAATAATGTAAAAGTAAAACTAAAATTTATAGTTTTGTGTTCTAATTTAAATAGCTCTTACTATATATATATATATATATATATGTTTTCTTAAAAGATGGATTACATAAAAAAAACTAAGAATAATAATAAAAAAAAAAAAATTATATACATATAATATTATTATAAACACGTATGGGTTGTATTGTCATTTTCAAATTCATTTAGAGAATTATAACGCATAGTTACGGGACAAAAAGAATATATACAACACATAATAAAAGTACGTGTTATTTGTTTATATTTTATAACTCTGAATATACAGTGTGCTGTCAGCTAGGGGTGTGAATTCGTATTCCCAGTCGTGTTCGTATCGGGTTGAGTCATGGGGTAAACAAAAAAACTGTCAATCCGAACTCGACCTGAACCCGAAATTTGACATGAAACCGTAGAGCCGAACATGATACGAATTCTTTCAGGTCGGATTCAGGTTGACCTGAATTAGTTTCAAGTCACTCGAAATCCGAACAAACCCTACACGAGACAGACTCAAAATTTTTTTTTTAAAAAAAAATTAACCTAAAAAAGTTCATTTTTATTTTTATTTTTTATATTTAAAATAATATAAAATTTATAAATTAAAATAATAACAATAAACAATTACATGTCAACCCGAAACACAAAACCCGAAACCTGACTTGATTTTTATATTTCGGGTTATTAGGTCGATCCAAACACGATACAAAATTTTTTTGTTTAGAGTTTGGATCGACCTGACTTTTTGCAAACCCGAAATAACCAAGCCCGAATCTGAAAATTTTCAGATCTAACAAGTTTGAATTTTCGGATTGGGTTTAATTTTGTCATCCCTGTTGTCAGCATAGTGAAATTCAGCACCCTGGTCTTTATAATCCAAATTAGAAAAGACAATTGATCGATTCATGTTGAATTGAAAATTTATTAATGGACGAAATTATTCAATTTTAATCCGATTAGTTTATTTCAGTATCAAGTTTGTGTTGATAATATACATAATTTGGTTAATTATTAATGTAGTGAATATTGGCCCGAATTAAGACACGTATTTCTTGTTATATAAATATATATATATATATCAACGAAGCATATAATTTTTGAATTCATAAATTTTATTCACATATAGTATTTTATTAATAAAAATAAAAACCAACACATCCTTTCTCTTTATAAAGAGTGTAAGAAACTTCACGTGTTTTCTGTCGAATCAAAAAACCCTCTCAGAGCTTTACACAAACCCTCCAATGACAAACTCCGGCGACCACCAATCAACCACCGCCGCCGCCTCCGCCGCCGGCGACGGCATCGCCGTCATAATCGTCCCATTTCCGGCGCAGGGCCACCTCAACCAAATGCTCCAGCTCGCCTGCCTCATCGCCTCCTACGGCGGCGCCACCGTCCACTACGCCGCCGCCGCCGTCGCCGCCGTCAAATTCCACGACCTCCCAACCCCGCCGTTCCCGTCGCCGCCGCCGAACCCGGCGGCGCCGTCCAAATTCCCCTGCCAGCTCCAGCCGGCGTGGGACGCCAGCCTCAGCCTCCGCCGCCCGATGGCGGAGTTCATCCGCGCCACCGCCGCCGTCCACCGCCGCGCCGTCGTCATCCACGACTCCCTCATCGCCGTCCTCGTCCAGGACGCCGCCGCCGTCCCCAACGCCGAGACCTACGCCTTCAACTGCCTCTCCGCCTTCTGCCAGGCAAAAATGAACTTCGAACTCGCCGGAAAACCGTTCCCCCGCCGCGGCCTGAAAGAACTTCCGGCGGTGACGGACTGCATCTCCGGCGACCTGGCGGCGTTCATCGGCCTCCAGGAGGAGGCCCTCCGCCGTAGATCTGGAGATATTTACAATACCTCCAGATTGATCGAACCTTTTTACATGGATCTCCTCGACCGCGACGCCGAGGAAGAGGAACAGAGCCACTGCCGCCGCCGCCGGAAAAATTGGGCCATCGGACCTATCATCCCCGCCGACCTCCACACGGCGGCGCAAAATTTTTCCGGCCGACGACATGAATGCTTGTCTTGGCTCGACAAACAGGTGCATCCATTTTACATTTTCTCCATTTCTCTTTTTTTAAAAATATGAAAACTATATATTTCTTTATAAACTTTCTTTACATTTGAATTTTTATAATAAATTAAAAATAATAATATTTTATTAGTTAATAAAAAATTTGTTAAATAATGATGTATTTATAATTTATGCAAATATTTTAATATTAATATACGATTACTTTTATTATAATAGAATATAAATACTTTGAATAAGACAGACAAAAATATGAAATCGAAAGATAGCTATAATGCTGAATTTAAAATTTAATATGAATAGCTTATCTTGTGTTGTTTGACAGGATATACTATTATTACAAATAACACATTGTAAATGTTAATATAATATAAATACACTACTTCATCCTTTCCATAAGAAGAACACCGTTTGTATTTTACACGAAGATTTTTGAATATTAATATTATATTAGTTTATAGTAAAAAGACAAAAATGTCCCTATTAGTATGATGTGTTATAAAAGTAACGATATTCGTGTAATATATTGTAAGTTGTAAGGGTATTTATTATGTTAGGTAGATAATACATTTACTAAATTATAAAATAGTACCCTTGTTTTGGGATAGAGAAAAATAGAAAATTGTATACTTCTTATGGGAGAGAGGGAGTATATGAAATAATAGTGCATGTCATAGTCTCATATTAGGGGTGGACAAGGTTCGGATATTTGCAAATATACAGGTATTTGATATCCGAATCGAACCGAACAAATACCCGAAATCGTAAACCGTATCCGAACCGAAAATTTTTGTTAACCGAATCTTTGGTTAACCGAAATTAAAAAAATAATATATTAAAAAATAATTTAAATTCTAATTGAATCAAAATATTTGCAAATATTTCAAATATTCATTTCAAATACCCGAACCGAATATAATATTAATATAAAATTTAAAATATAATAATATAAATATATTCGGTTCGGAACCGAAAAATATCAAAAATCGAAAGCGAACTGAACCGAACAAATATCAAATATGCAGTATTTGTATTCCAACCGAATTTACTGAGTTAACTGAAATTTCAGTTTGGTTCAGTTATGTTCAGCGGTTCGAAGGTTCGGTTCATTTTTTTTTGCCAACCCCTATCTCATGCAACACACAACAATTGATTTTAGCATATGACATACTCTTATACAACATATTCGAAATTCTATACAAACAAGACATGATTATATTACACACAGTAGTATATAATATGAACGTGTATTTTTCGTATATATTATGCGTACTTAGTTTTCCGATCCAAATCAGCACCGTAATTATTCTCATAAAATATATTATCACTCTCTCTGTTTTACATAAAATATCCACCTTTTTCATTTCGCCCATCTTATATAATTTTTTTTCATCTTTTTAAAAATATAATTATATACCTTAATTATATTTTAAATTTTATAATTTTAATTAATTTTTTTTAAGTACAATAGTATTAAAAATTTTAAAAATTCAATTTGATATTTTTTTTATATAAACAAAAAAAATCTGGTAAAAGACTTTAAGAAATGATTTGAACAACCGCAGGAGCCGAAGTCAGTTATCTACGTCACATTCGGGACGACGACGTCATTATCCGACGAGGAAATCTCCGAATTGGCGGCGGGATTAGAAAGAAGCGGCCACAAGTTCATTTGGGTGCTGCGCGACGCCGACAAGGCCAACATCTTCGACGGCGCCGATGTCCGGCGAACCCTTCTGCCGGCGGGCTACGAGGAGCGACTTTCCGGGAGAGCCATCGTGGTTCGGGACTGGGCTCCTCAGCCGGAGATCCTGGCCCACAGGTCCACCGGCGGCTTCATGACCCACTGCGGCTGGAACTCGTGCCTCGAGAGCCTCACGCGCGGCGTGCCCATGGCGGCGTGGCCGATGCACTCCGACCAGCCGGCTAACGCGCTGATGGTCACGGAGGTCCTGGGAGCCGGGTTCCTGGTCCGGGAGTACACGGCGGAGGCGGCGGTGGTGAGGGCGCCGACGGTGGAGGCGGCGGTGAGAAGGCTGATGGAGTCGGAGGAAGGAAGGGCGGCCAGGAAACGGGCGGAGGAATGGGCGGAGAAGCTGCGGCGGGCGACGGAGGACGGCGGCGCTTCTCGCCGGGAATTGGAGGCGTTTTTGGCGCACATTTACCGCCCCGGCGAGGCGGCTCCCGGCGGTGCCGCCGCCGGAGCTCCGGGACCGGCTTGGTGTGAGGTTTCTGCTAATGGTGGGGTGTAATTTGTGAGGTTTTAGATATTTTA